AAGGAAGGGGTGTGAGAGAGAGGAAGTGGTGTGAGGGAGAGGAAGGGGTGTGAGGGAGAGGAAGGGGTGTGAGACAGAGGAAGGGGTGTGATGGAGAGGAAGGGGTGTGAGGGAGAAAAAGGGGAGTGAGGGAGAGGCGGGGGTGTGAGGGAGAGGAAGGGGTGTGAGGGAGAGGAGGATGTGAGGGAGAAGAAGTGTGAAGGAGGGGTGTGAAGGAGAGGAAGGGGTGTGAGGGAGAGGAAGGGGTGTGAGGGAGAGGGAGGGGTGTGAGAGAGAGAAAGGGGTGTGAGGGAGAGAAAGGGGTGTGAGGGAGAGGAAGGGGTGTGAGGGAGAAGAAGGGGTGTGAGGGAGAGGGAGGGGTGTGAGAGAGAGAAAGGGGTGTGAGGGAGAGGAAGCGGTGTGAGGGAGAGGAAGGGGTGTGAGAGAGAGAAAGGGATGTGAGAGAGAGGAAGGGGTGTGAGGGAGAGGAAGGGGTGTGAGAGAGAGGAAGGGGTTTTGATGGAGAGGAAGGGGTGTGAGGGAGAAAAGGGGAGTGAGGGAGAGGCAGGGGTGTGAGGGAGAGGAAGGGGTGTGAGGGAGAGGAGGGTGTGAGGGAGAAGAAGTGTGAGGAGGGGTGTGAGGGAGAGGAAGGGGTGTGAGGGAGAGGAAGGGGTGTGAGGGAGAGGGAGGGGTGTGAGGCAGAGGAAGGGGTGCGAGGGAGGGGGAGGGTTGTGAGGGAGATGGAGGGGTGTGAGGGAGAGGAAGGGGTGCGAGGGAGAGGGAGGTGTGGGGGGAGAGGAGGGGGGGTGTGAGGGAGAAAGAGGGGTGTGAGGGAGAAAGAGGGGTGTGAGGGAGAGGAAAGGGTGTGAGGGAGAGGAAGGGGTGTGAGGGAGAGGAAGGGGTGTGAGGGAGAGGAAGGAGTGTGAGGGAGAGGGAAGGGTGTGAGAGGAAGCGGTGTGAGGGAGAGGAAGGGATGTGAGGGAGAGAAAGGAAGTGAGGGAGAGTAGGGGGTGTGAGGGAGAGGAAAGGGTGTGAGGGAAAGGAAGGAGTGTGAGGGAGAGGCAGGGGTGTAAGGGAGAGGAAGGGGTGTGAGGGAGAGGGAGGGGTGAGAGGGAGAGGAAGGGGTGTGAGGGAGAGGAAGGGTTGTGAGGGAGAGGAGGGGTGTGAGGAAGAGGGAGGGGTGTGAGGGAGAGGAAGGGGTGAGAGGGAGAGGGAGGGGTGTGAGGGAGAGGGAGGGGTGTGAAAGAGAGGGAGGGGTGTGAGGGAGAGGAATGGGTGAGAGGGAGAGGAAGGGGTGTGAGGGAGAGGGTGGGGTGTGATGGAGAGGGAGGGGAGTGAGGGAGGGGGAGGGGTGTGAGGGAGAGTAAGGGGTGTGAAGGAGAGGAAGGGGTGTGAAGGAGAGGAAGGGGTGTGATGGAGAGGGAAAGGTGTGAGGGAGAGAGAGGGGTGTGAGGGAGAGAAAGGGGTGTAAGGTAGAGCGAGATGTGTGAGGGAGAGGGAGTGGTGTGAGGGAAAGGAAGGGGTGTGTGGAGAGGAAGGGTGTGTGAGGGAGAGGGAGGGGTGTGAGGGAAAGGAAGGGGTGTAAGAGAGAGGAAGTGGTGTGTGAGGGAGAGGAAGGGGTGTGAGGGAGAGGAAGGGGTGTGAGAGAGAGGAAGGGGTGTGAGGGAGGGGGAAGGGGTGTGAGGGAGAAAAAGGGGAGTGAGGGAGAGGGAGGGGTGTGAGGGAGAGGAAGGGGTGTGAGGAAGAGGAGGGTGTGAAGGAGAAGAAGTGTGAAGGAGGGGTGTGAGGGAGAGGAAGGGGTGTGAGGGAGAGGGAGGGGAGTGAGGGAGAGGAAGGGGTGCGAGAGAGAGGGGTGTGAGGGAGAGGAAGGGGTGTGAGGGAGAGGAAGGGGTGTGAGGGAGAGGAAGGGGAGTGAGGGAGGGAGGGGTGTGAGGGAGATGGAGGGGTGTGAGGGAGAGGAAGGGGTGCGAGGGAGAGGGAGGGGTGGGAGGGAGAGGGAGGGGTGTGAGGGAGAAAGAGGGGTGTGAGGGAGAGGAAAGAGTGTGAGGGAGAGGAAAGGGTGTGAGGGAGAGGAAGGGGTGTGAGCGAGAGGAAGGGGTGTGAGGGAGAGGGAAGGGTGTGAGAGGAAGCGGTGTGAGGGAGAGGAAGGGGTGTGAAGGAGAGGAAGGAGTGTGAGGGAGATAGAGTCGTGTGAAGGAGAGGCAGGGGTGTAAGGGAGAGGAAGGGGTGTGAGGGAGAGGGAGGGGTGTGAGGGAGAGGGAGGGGTGAGAGGGAGAGGAAGGGGTGTGGGGGAGAGGAAGGGCTGTGAGGGAGAGGGAGGGGTGTGAGGAAGAGGGAGGGGTGTGAGAGAGAGGAAGGGGTGAGAGGGAGAGGGAGGGGTGTGAGGGAGAGGGAGGGGTGTGAGGGAGAGGGAAGGGTGTGTGAGGGAGAGGGGAGGGGTGTGTGAGGGAGAGGGATGGTCTGCGGGGAGAGAGAGGGGTGTGAGGGAGAGGAAGGGGTGTGAGGGAGAGGAAAAAGTGTGAGGGAGAGGATGGGGTTAGATGGAGAGTAAGGGGTGTGAGGGAGAGGAAGGGGTGTGAGGGAGATGAAGGGGTGTGAGGGAGAGGGAGGGGTGTGAGGGCGAGAAAGGGGTGTGAGGGGAGAGGAAGGGTTGAAAGGGAGAGGAAGGAATGTAAGGGAGAGGTAGAGGTGTGAGGGAGAGGGAAAGGTGTGAGGGAGAGGCAGTGGTGTGAGGGAGAGGAATGGGTGTGAGGGAGAGGAAAGGGTGTGAGGGAGATGAAGGTGTGTGAGGGAGAGAAGGGGTGTGAGGGAGAGGAAGGGGTGTGAGGGAGAGGAAAGGGTGTGAGGGAGAGGAAGGGGTGTGAGGGAGAGGGAGGGGTGTGAGGGAGAGGAAGGGGTGTGATGGAGAGGAAGGTGTGTGAGGGAGAGGAAGGGGTGTGTGGGAGAGGAAGAGGTGTAAGGGAGAGGGAGGGGTTGTGAGGGAGAGGGAGGGGTGAGAGGGAGAGGAAGGGGTGTGAGGGAGAGGGAAAGGTGTGAGGGAGAGGCAGTGGTGTGAGGGAGAGGAATTGGTTGTGAGGGAGAGGAAAGGGTGTGAGGGAGATGAAGGTGTGTGAGGGAGAGGAAGGGGTGTGAGGGAGAGGAAGGGGTGTGAGGGAGAGGAAAGGGTGTGAGGGAGAGGAAGGGGTGTGAGGGAGAGGGAGGGGTGTGAGGGAGAGGAAGGGGTGTGATGGAGAGGAAGGTGTGTGAGGGAGAGGAAGGGGTGTGTGGGAGAGGAAGGGGTTGTAAGGGAGAGGGAGGGGAGGGAGGGGTGTGAGGGAGAGGGAGGGGTGAGGGGAGAGGAAAGGGTGTGAGGTAGAGGGATTGATGTGAGGGAGAGGGAGGAGTGTCAGGGAGAATGAGTGGTGAGAGGGAGAGGAAGGGGTGAGAGGGAGAGAAAGGGGTGTGAGGAAGAGGGAGGGGTGTGAGGGAGAGGAAGGGGTGAGAGGGAGAGGGAGGGATGTGAGTGAGAGGTAGGGATGTGAAGGAGAGCGAGTGGTGTGAGGGACAGGGAGGGGTGTGAGGGAAAGAGAGGGGTGTGAAGGAGAGGAAGGGGTGTGAGGGAAAGGGAGGGGTGTGAGGGAGAGGAAGGGGTGTGAGGGAGAGCAAGGGGTTTGTGGGGCAGAGGGAGGGATGTGAGTGAGAGGTAGGGATATGAGGGAGAGAGAGTGGTGTGAGGGAGAGGAAGGGGTGTGAGGTAGAGGATGGGGTGTGAGGGAGAGGAAGGGGTGTGAGGGGAGAGGGAGGGGTGTGAGGTAGAGGAACGGGTGTGACTGAGAAGAAGGGGTGTGAGGGAGAGGAAGGGGGTGTGAGGGAGAGAATGGGGTATGAGGGAGAGGAAGGGGTGTGAGAGAGAGGAAGTGGTGTGACAGAGAGGGAGGAGTGTGAGGGAGAGGGAGGGTGTGTGTGGGAGATATAGGGGTGTGAGGGAAAGAGAGGGGTGTGTGGGAAAGGGAGGTGTGTGAGGGAGAGAGAAGGGTGTGTGGGAGAGGGAGGGGTGTGAGGAGAGGGAGGGATGTGAGGGAGAGGGAGGGGTGTGTGGGAGAGTGAGGGGTGTGAGGGAGAGGGAGGGGTTTGTGGGAGAGGGAGGGGTGTGAGGAGAGAGAGAGAGGGGTGTGTGGGAGAGGGACGGGTATGAGGGAGAGGAAGGGGTGTGTGGGGAGAGGGAGGGGTGTGGAGGGAAAGGGAGGGTGTGTGGGAGAGGGAGGGGTGTGAGGAGAGTGAGGGGTGTGAGGGAGAGGGAGGGGTTTGTGGGAGAGGGAGGGTGTGAGGGAGAGAGAGAGGGGTGTGTGGGAGAGGGAGGGTATGAGGGAGAGGAAGTGGTGTGTGGGAGAGGGAGGGGTGTGAGGGAGAGAGAGAGAGGGGTGTGTGGGAGAGGGAGGGGTATGAGGGAGAGGAAGGGGTGTGTGGGAGAGGGAGGGGTGTGAGGGAGAGAGAGAGAGGGGTGTGTGGGAGAGGGAGGGGTATGAGGGAGAGGAAGGGGTGTGTGGGAGAGGGAGGGGTGTGAGGGAAAGGGACGGTGTGTGGGAAAGGGAGGGATTAGCGGGAAAGAGAATAGGGTGTAGGAGACAGGGAGGAGTATCGGGAAGGACTATTGTGGGAGAAGAGAAATTTGAGTAGTGCTCGTGTTGACCAACACTAGTTCTTCACACCATGCTCCCTAATGGGTATTTAATACCTCACCTTCTGTAACACTTCACTCTCCCAAACACATCATAAACGCCTCACACTCTCTCACACATCACTATTACACTTCACTCTCTCTAAAACTTCACTCTCCTGAACACTTTACTCTCCCTAAAATCTCACTCTCTTCAATACCTCCCTCGTAATAGCTGGATCTACTCTCCCACTCTCTAACAACTCCCATTTCTTCACTAACATCTCCTCTCTCTCTTTTACTCCTCTTTCTATCACTAACACCTCCCACTCTTTCACCTACTCCTTGTTTCATTGTACTAATACCTGGTTCCCTCTCTCAACAGCTGACGTACACGCCCCACACACAGATGGACTATGGTTTTTTGCTGTGTTGGGCAACAAACTCGGTTGGGAAGCAGAGGGATCCCTGCGTCTTCAAGATTTTCCCAGCAGGTAAAGTACTAAGCAGAAATATCACATTTTATGAAGTGTTAAACATACAAGCGTCGTGCTGTGTTAAAAGTATTATTATCTTGCTATGTTTAACACACAGCTCTTATGTTGTATTACGCAATCATATAGTACTCTCAGTGTTGTTAAATTTATTTACATTCTGTAATGTTAATTAAGCATACATTTATCCTGAAATACTGGGATTAAATCGAAGTTGTATTAGTAAATAAAGGCTGCTATGTTAAACATATGAATATATTTAATATTTTAGAGAATATCCATATAAAATGTTGCACATGGATATCGGTCTATGTTTAAATTAAATGTCGTGCTATGTCAATATTACAGGTAAGATGCTGCGGAGATTGATAAACATTTTGTTGATTTAATATACTAAATATTAATTATTCTTAAACAATAACGAGAACGTTGAGTAAGAACATAAGAACATAAGAAAGAAGGAACACTGCAACAGGCCTACTGGCCTATGCGAGGCAGGTCCAATTCTCCCACCGACATAAGCCAATGCTTTGAGCAAGTGAAGTTAGACACGTCACTTAAGGGAGGAGCACGGCATCCGACCTAGTAGCACAAGCTAGTCAGGTTCAACTCACACCCACCCACACCCACTTATGTATTTATCCAATCTGTTTTTAAAATTACACGACGTTTTAGCTTCTATGACTGTACTCGAGAGTTTGATCCACTCATCCACAACTCTATTACCAAACCAGTGCTTTCATATATCCAACCTGAATCTGATTTTTGTCCAGTTTAAAGAAATTGCTGCGAGTCCTGTCTATGTTAGATATTTTTAGTACGCTATTTACATACCTTTTATTAATTCCTGCTTTCCATTTAAACACCTCAAACGTATCCCCCCTAATTCTACGCCTTTCTAGAGAGTGCAAATTCAGGACCCTCAGTCTATCCTCATAGGGAAGATTTCTGATGCATAGGATCAACTTTGTCATCCTCCTTCGTACATTTTCCAGTGCATTTATATCCATTCTGTAATACGGTGACCAAAACTGCGCAGTATAACCTAAATGAGGCCTAACCAAGGATATATAGAGTTGAAAGAACAACCTGAGGACTTCTATTATTTATACTTCTTGCTATGAAGCCAAGGACTCTGTTAGCTTTATTGCAAACACTTATGCACTGTTATCTTGGTTTCAGATTACTGCTAACCAGAACTCCTAAATCCTTTTTGCAATCCGTAATAATAAGATCTATATTATTGAGTTTATATGTGGCATGGTTATTTACATGTCCAACATTTAGAACTTTGCATTTGTCAATATTAAACTGCATCTGCCACTTCTCTGACCACTGCATCAGCTTATTCAAATTATCCTGGATTGCTCTAGTGTCCTCATTAGAATGAATTGGCCGGCCTATTTTGGTGTCATCAGCAAATTTGTTTATGTCGCTATTTATTCCCTCATCTACGTCGTTTATGTAGATTGTGAACAAAAAGGGGTCCAGCACTGACTGCTGTGGAACACCGCTTGTGACTTGTCCCCATTCTGATTTCTCCCCATTTATGCAAACTCTCTGCTGCCTATTTGTCAACCATGCCTCTACCCAGGAAAAAATTTCTCCTCCTATTTCGTGTGCCCTAAGTTTCCTCAATAGCCTCTGATGTGGAATTCTATCGAAAGCCTTACTGAAGTCCATATACACAATATCATATTCAATACCATGATCTACCTTCTCAAACACCTTAGTGAAGAAAGTTAGTAAATTTGTAAGACAGGAACACCCCTTTGTAAAACCGTGCTGAGATTCATTAATCAATTTATGCCTTTCAAGATGGCTACGAATTGCTTTGGCAATTATTGATTCCATAAATTTTCCCACTATGGAGGTAAGGCTTATTGGTCTATAGTTCGAAGCTAAGGACCTGTCACCTGCCTTGTAAATAGGTATTACATTTGCCAGTTTTCCACTTATCAGGCACTATGCCAGTTTGTCGAGATTTGTTGAAAAGATTAGCCAAAGGTTTGCCAAGTTCCTCTTTACATTCCTTTAACACCCTTGCAAACAGTTTAACAGGGCTTGGGGATTTGTGAGATTCTAATTTCTCTATTTGTCTGAGAACCATATCACTAGTAACTGCAATCGTGCATAGTTTATTATCGTCCTGTTCTACTTAATCTATTATTTCAGGAATTTCGCTAGTATTTTCCTGGGTAAAAACTGAGAGGAAGTAAGTATTGAAAATTTCACACATATCCTTATCACTGTCAGTGATCTGACCTGAGTTACTTTTAAGAGGGCCTATCTTGTCCCTAATCTTACTTCTGTATACCTGAAAGAACCCTTTTGGGTTAGTCTTCGAATCCCTTGCGACCTTAGCCTCAAAATCCTTTTTGCTTTTCTTATTCCTTTTTTTTATTTCTCTAATTGAATATATTGATTTCTTAACTGTCCATCCCCTCTTTTGATACGCCTATATATGCCTCTCTTTTGACCAATGAGATGTTTTAATCTATTGTTCTTCCATTTGGGATCATTTTTGTTAGATCTAATTTCCCTACTAGGAACAAAAGTTGTCTGGGTAGCTAGAACTATGCTCTGAAAAACGTCATATTGGCAATTAAGACCACCTACTGACCCATTGTCAGGTTATCCCAATTTAGCCCATCCAGGTATTTTTTCAGTCCTTTGAAATCGGCCAAGCGAATATTTGGGACAGAGATTTGATTGCAGTTATCTGGGTAATTCCATGATATATTGAAACTAAGTGATTTGTGATCACTTTCCCCAAGCTCATCATTAACTTCAAGATTAATAAGTGATTCTTTGCTGGCGAGAACCAAGTCAAGTAGATTGTTTCCTATAGTTGTTTCTGTCACAAACTGCTATAAAAAGCAATCCTGAACCATATCAAGGAAGTCACTAGACACGAGATTTCTTGTCATATTGTTCCAATCAATTTGTCCAAAGTTGAAATCTCCCATTAACACAACATTTCCATATCTAGATGCCTTAAGACTTTCGTTCCATAACAGCTTATTGCACTCCCTATCAAGGTTTGGGGGCCTATAAATCACACCCAAAATTAATTTGTCACGACCCTCGGGAAACTAGCCAAACAGATTCTGTGTCCGATCTTTTTAATCTTATATCATGTCTAAGACAACAATTTAAATTTTCTCTGACGTACATCGCCACTTCACCTCCCTTCGTGTTGACCCTACCAATGTGGAATAATTTATAACCCTGTATGTTGCATTCAGAAGGCATTTCTCTATCCTTCAGGTTGAACCAGGTCTATGTTATAGCAATAATATCCATATTACATGTACTTGCAAGTAATCTTAGCTCATTTATCTTATTTCTTAGACTCCTGCTATTTGTATAGTAAATCTTAAGGGAGCTAGTTATTCGTTGCCCTCTACTATCTCTCTTTATTTTTAATATTGTCTTTTAAGTATATCCCTGAGGTATCCCGGAAATATCTGTTGTTTACAGCTCTAATACTGCAGTCTGGTTGTTTCCCATAAACACACATACCTCTATAATCTATCAGTTTAAAGTCCTAGACAAATCATCGATTACCCCCTGAATCGAACTGCCTAATGCAACCACTCCAGCCTTAGAGATGTGAACCCTATCCCTTGCATACATATCACGTTTGCCATAGAATTTGTCCCAGTTAACAATGAATGGGATTGCAAGTTCCTTGCAGTACCTGTCTAGCCAGCAATTTATACCAATTGCCCTAGACATCCTTTCATTGCTCACTCCCTTTCTAGTCAAGATGCTACATATGACAAGGATTCCTCTCTTAGACTACTTCTATGGCTGACTTGTACTTATCCAGTAGCTCCTATCTCCTGCCCTTCCCAGTGTCATTACTCCCCAGCACTAAGACAGATAATAGGCTTGTTCCCATTACCTAACATAATATTATCCAACCTGCTGACTATGTCAGCAACACCAGCTCCTGGGAGGTACACCCTCTGCCTGGCCTTCCTATTTCTGTTACAAAAAGCACAGTCCGTATATCTTGCATGAGAATCTACTACGATTAAAATATTCTTATCCTGATTAGCAGAGGAGTCAGTAGTACTTTTAGTCTCACTAACCACTGAAGTACACTCGTCCTGGAGAATAGAGAATCGATTTCCTACCTTCACATCTTCTCTATTAAACCTCCTTATCTTCCTTCTTCCTGAGCTGTGGACCACTTGCCACTTAAAGTGGCTGCCACTCTCACAGCTGGTGACCATTTCCTCTTTACCAGCTCTATCCATCTGACACTCACTCCCAGACCCATATAGGCGAAGCTTCAACCTCCTATATTCCTCCTGAAGAAGTTGAACCTCCTTCTTCAACGCTTTAAGCTGAGATTTTAAAATACTACAACAAGCCATGGTGCTCGGTAACACCCCACGCTAACTCCCAGAGAGTGTAGGACAGGTATGACTGTTTACGAGATTATTTGGTGATTTTGGTAGCGGGGAGTAATGATAAAGGCTTCGGAGGCTTCTTACTTTATTTGCGAGATAGTGGGGTACACAGGCAGTGTGTTAAGTGCCCATGGCCCGGGAGGGCCATGCCCGCGAGAGAGAGAGGAGTAGGACCTGTTCTCTGAGTCTAGGCCGCTGAGTGAATGAGGCAGATGCAGGGGTGGGCAGGCTAGCATGCCCACCGGGAGGCCTGGCTTCTGGTGGAAACTATGGGAATTAGGCACGTAGGCTCACTGGCTACATGATCTCACGTGACCACTGACCTCAGCGTACTCGAGGCAATGCTTAATTAAAAGGATGACGCTAAGAATTTTTTTTTAGTTATGAGTTAATTCTAGTAATATTAATTATATGTAGAGAAATTTTATATTAAATTAGGCACTTGCATGTAAACAAATGTTTAAAGCAGTGATCATATTATAATTTAAAATTTCAAGGTAAATGATAACATGATCTACCCAGGTGATGGCACAGGTAAGTATAGTTTTGACGACGGTGTTATTTGGGCAAGTGTGA